CATCTTTCTGGGTGAGAGGCCGACCTTTTCTTTCACCTTTTGGGCCAGTGCTTGTGCAGTGACCCTGGGCTTCTTTGGCGTTGAGACCTTCGGAAAAGAGGACAGGTATACAATGAGCTCAGTGAATTTGGACTGTTGTGTGATAGTGATTACATGGTTTTCACTTACTCTGCCCTCAGCAGCGGAGGTGGAGGCTGCAGCGGAGGGCGCAGATGAGGAGGAGGCAACCGAGGGGGAGGAGGCCGCAGCGGAGGAGGGACCTCCCTCTTCTTCCCTCAGTGAGAGCCAAATGAACATGTTTCTTATTTCTTTGGCCCTCTGTACCGTTTTGTGGAGGGCATAAAACCTCTCCTGGGTCTCTTGGCTGTGGCACATGAACTGTGAAAGGTTTTTCCTCATTTCGTCGTCGTTTTTGTTCAAAATTCTACAAAAGACAAATTCATGCTTGGGTGAGTATGGATTAAATTTACCCCGTGAAAATCAAACGTCAGGTCTCTGTCATACTCACATATGTGGATGCGGCCGTCCTGAGATCAAGGAGGCTGGGGGAGCCTGGGAGGCCCATCTCGGACCACGCCCTGCGCACATACCTCACCAAGTCTTTTGCTTCGGTGCGGCCAAGGGAGGTAAAAAAGTAATTGTTTAATGCGACAGTGTGGTTTCGGAGTCGGAGTCATCGGGTGAACCACCCATACTCTTCGGGCTCCAGGTAGATTTGGGCAGTTCCATACTTTCATACGGTTTTGTGGTCCATGACCTGCAACAGACAGAGATGACAGAAAACAGAGAGAGCAGTCAATTGGATAAAGCTGTGGAAACAAAATTTAATCTGATTACACTATGAAAGGGTTTGAATTTAAACTGAAATTTACATTGATGAGGTAGCCAGTTTCCGGGTTCCCCACAGCCTCCCTGACCTCAGACACTCTCATACGGGTGAGGACCCCCGTCCTGTGTCCGTAAATGCTGCAAATGTACGCAGCAAGGTACCCAAAGAAAAGGTACCGAGTCTTTGGATCCTTGGGGCGGGCCTGTTCGATGTCATCTGAAATGAGAGTTAAAGAGAGAAGAGAATAATGAATAATGATGTATATCAGAAAAGTACTGTGTGTGTGTGTGTGTGTGTGTGTGGGAGAGAGAGAGATAAAGAGAAAGAGAGAGGCAGGCCTGGCATTTGGCCAGGTCTGCTTTTGCCACCAGTCTTTGCCCCTTTTGTTGTTTAACCATGAACTGGTGGCCCAGTACGGTGCGGCCCAGGTCTTTGTAGAGCTTTTTTAGCTCCTTGAATATCATAGTCACTTTCTCTGGGGGCACCCTCGAATACTTCGGTTGTATGTCCCACACATACTCGACAAACGATATGGCCTGGCCCACATACAATATAATGGTTGTTGGTGCCAGGCCAAATGATCGTAGCAGAGCAGGGTAGCTGTGGAAAGACCAGTCTGGATTTAGTCTCTGTCATTCATTTGTTTTCAGTGCTTACTAAGGTTACGTCTTTCAAAGTTCACTACTTATGACTTCACCAGAAGAGGGTTATCTAGGAACTCCCAGGTCCAGTACTTTATCGAAGACCACCCGAGCGTCATGTATTTGATAAATACTTTGGCTCGGGTGGTCTTCGAGGTCGCATTCTCCTTCATTTTGTTCGTGCCTTCGGGGCACGAAACAAAATCAGCATACTTGTCAGTGTATTTGTCTGTAAAAATGAAACACGTGATGATGAATGTAGCATGAAAACACTCCACACACCTGCACATATATAGAATGTTTAATTTCTTACCAATTGAGGTGCCAAAGCATATATTCCTGAGGTTGTAGGCCTTGCTTTTTCCAGCAAAATACGGCTTCAGGGCAGTGTGAATTGTTCTCAGTTGAGGACTGAGCCGTTCTGTTTCCTCCTAAGAAAAAAAACAATACAAAACAAAATTAACATGACCACACGCTCTCCTTGGTTCAAACCCTGGTAAAGATTTGTGAAATTATTGATGAACTAAACACTCACCTCACTGGTGCTCTGCTCCTGTCTGGAAGCAGCAGCAGCAGGAGGCATGGAAGAAGAGGTCTTCCTCTTCTGAGTCTCTGGTGGCTGCTGCTCGTCCTCTTCCTCCTGCTCCTCCTCCTCGTCACCACTGTCATGGGCAGAGGTGAATAACGCTCCCTCCTGCTGCTGCTGCTGCTGCTGCTGCTGCTGCTGCTGCTGCTGCTCCTCAGGGTTATGGGCGGAGGAGGATGAGGTTCCCTCCTCCTGCGGCTGCTGCTGCTGCTCCTCAGGGCTATGGGCGGAGGGGGATGAGGCTCCCTCTTCCTGCGGCTGCTGCTCCTCCTCCTCAGGGCTATGGGTGGAAGGGGATGAGGCTCCCTCCTGCTGCTGCTGCTGCTGCTGCTGCTGCTCTTCCTCCTGCTCCTCCTCCTCCATTGATGAGCTCTCAGAGGAGGAGGCTCCCGCCTGCTGCTGCTGCTCCTCTTGCTCCTCCTGTTCCTCCTCCTCCTCCTTTGAGCTGTCGGAGGAGGTGGATGAGGCTCCCCCCTGCTGCCGCTGCCGCTTCTGCTTAGTCAGGAGGAGGAAAGACAGGATAGATAGATAGCTTTTATTGTCCAGTGTGCCATGCCATGACAACAACCAGCAAGAGAAAACAGGACTGCAAATTAATGATGATGTACTCATTTTTCATTTACTCACATTGAGGTCAGCAATGATCTTGCACAGGTCCCGCACCTCCCGCTCCAATTCGGTCACCTGGCGGCAATTGTTCCTGCAGGAGGCATTTTGGCAGAGGTTTTGCCCCTGCCTGGGCTCTTCCTCTGAATCCTCCTGCAGGTCCAGTGTGCCTATCATAGGTGGGGTGGGGTTTGAGGCCCTCAGGGCGGCCAACTGCCTCATGGCAGAAGCCCGTTTGAGGGCCTTTATTTTTTTACTCACCCTTCCTCTGGTGACATCTTGGAGGCGCCTAATGTGCTTCTCCAAGTGTAAAATGTGTGGGGAGCACAGGGGGAAAGGGCATGGCCCAGCATCAACTGTGATCCGGCCAGTCGCCAGATTGTTGAGGATGCTCCTTTCTTTTAGGTTTAGAAGCCCGTGGCTCTGCCGGAGGTGCTTGGAAAGGGCTCTCAGCTCATGTCCACAAATGGGGCATTCCCCAGAGACCTTGGTTTTGGTCATCTATAAAAGTAAAGAAAGGAAAAATCATTCTGTGATGAGGGAACTTTCTCTGTCAGCTGCAACATCCCTCAGCAAGTGCATAAGTAAAAAGGAAAGGAAATTAAGAAAAAAAATTACTGAAAAAGGAATTAAGAAAACAATATGAATAAAAGGGATTTAAGAAAATACTGTAGCGGGGCGTTGGTGGCTTAGTGGTAGAGCAGGCATCCCATGTACAAGGCTGTTGCTGCAGCGGCCCT